GGCGATTGCCCTCAGCCTCGTAATTTGTACAAGAAGTACCACATGCGTCAAATAGCTCTTCACATGTTTTGTCAGGATGTTCAATTCTTACCCCAAAGCCTGCGTTTATAGTTCCCTTGAAGGCTGACCCGTCTGTATAAATATGAATTGAATCACTAGGGTAGGAGTCAATTGTCTATTCATCAAGTTAAATGAGTAGCAGACTCACTGTAGATGTTGAGCTCAATGTCTGGGGTCCTCCGGAAGTATCAAACGTCTCACTGACTCTGACAGAGAGGGTAAATCGTTTCTGGTCCCGAGCTTCATAGTCCACGACCTGACAGGTGAGATGAGAGATGGAAAAATAGTGACATGAGAGTCGATTTAAGAGACATTGAAATAATCACTGAGAAACGTTATCTCAATAGCAATGGAACAATGAGTTTTAGTTTTAATTAGAGTTTTACGGTACTTTCAACACAATAAGGTCATAGGTGCTGAAGAATAGAGGTGTTACTTGAGAGTAACAAACACAAAAAGAAGGAGGAGAGATACGGACGATAGATGTTTGATAGAAAAGAAGGAACAAACCACACCAGAGCAGCCGCAACCACCCACTGAAACAGTGAAGAAAACAATGAGCCAATAAACTTTGTTTAAAAGCAGCAATCAAATGGAATGAATGTGTTAGTTTTTCATAAATGTATATGTATATAAACCCTTACTTCTTTGTTTTACAATTATAGACTTGGCAAAATATGGAATTGTAAAAAATGAGGAAAATATTTTCATGAGGTTCTTCTCAGCAGCAGTAACAGAACAATATAGAAATGTAATACTGTTAGCTCTCTTATTGTTAGGTCCACACCAATGATTTTGTAGGTTGCATGCTCATGTTTTCACACTGAAAAATTAAATTGGTCAGGCATGGCAAAACATTTAGCTCATAAATTGTTTCTATAATACGAACAACTAAGTAAGTCTAAGATAGCTACCAAAACCCTCATTGACAAGAAGATGGTGAAAGCATGTTAGAGAGAATGCCTGTTTTGTTTGAGTAAAGAGAAGCACATCGACACAATAATGGTCATCTAGTGCTAGGAAAAAGGAAAAGGAAAAGAGAACGTCATTCTAGTGCCAACTAGCCATCCACAACATCAAAGTCCCATTATATCATCCCCCCCCCCCCCCACCCATGAGATTTTATAGTTCTTTAAAAAAAATCAGACTTAAGTACACACACACATGTAACGCATACAGCACAAACAAAGACTCAAAAGAAAGGAGCACAAGTTGTCAGGAGTCCTTCAGTTCTGTATCAGTTATTTAAAAAAATTAAAGAAGGTTTGCTTGTTTGAGTAAAGAGAAGAACATCGACACAATAATGGCCATTCAGTGCTTGGAAAAAGTAAGACAGATACACAGACAGAAACAAAGAGACGGAAAGTCAAAACACCCGCACGAGAGAAGGAAAAACTTCCTAAAATGGTACCTGTAGATTTGTAATTTGTCCATTCTGCTGAATCATAAACATGGAAGATATGTCACCATTGCTGTCCAGTACATCAAACACGACGTTCCCACCTTGAAAAGTCTTGGCTTGTACTTGTAAAGGAGCGTTGTCTTTGCCCTGTACAACTTTTCTGTCAAAATGAATTATAAAAGATAGTTTCATTAACAAGAAAGCTTTGTAAAATTCACATAATTTATTACTTTCGTTCTACTAATTCGTAGATTTTTATGGCATTTGTAACACAAATAAATCATACATGCCAAAAATTAGACATGTTACTAGAAAGTATTATACAACAACAAAAAAAAGGATAAGGATGACAGATGCTTGATGGGAAAGAAGGAGCAAACCACAACAGAGCACCCACCAATCACCTACCATACAATTTAATCATTTTTGAAATGTTCAGAACTGGAAACAAACAACCCAGTTTTAAATGATACAATTACAGTTTTTGCAGCTGTTGATTCTAAGAAAGGGAGAAAGATGTTATGGCTTTGTTTGAATTTCTCTTGAGTGAACATTTCATCTCGTTCGTACAAATGAAGATGGAAACACCTCTGCAATTCAGGGTTTTTTTAGTTTAGCATTGGTAAGAGTTTCATGGCACTTGCAACACAATGGAGTCATGTAAGTGCCAAAGATTAGAGGTGTTACGAGAGAGCAACAAACACACAAAAAAGGGGAGAGATGAGGAGGACAGATGTTTGATAGGAAAGAAGGAGCAAACCACACAAGAGTAACCGCCAACCACCCACAATGAAAAGGATAAAACTGTGTTCTATCGAACACCCTTGGTCAAATACAGTGGGAGACTGCGGGTACAAAAATACTCTAATGTTACTAACTTTTAAACACAGAAAGTTAATACTAAATAAAAGAGAAAATCTCTGAGTAAAACACAACATATAAATTAAAATTTGCAGATTAAAAATTACTGTGTAATCCTTCAGGCTCAAGGGCGAAATTCAATTCACAACTACCACTTTGGCAACTTCTTGGGAAGAGTACATTCCATGTATTAAACCCCCCCCCCCCCCCCCAAAAAAAAACAACAAAAAAAACGGTGTGATTGAATTTATATTTAACTCTGATCTCCTGTTTATGTGAGTTTTCCCCCCCATTTTTTGCACCCTTCATTTTATCATTAAAATAAAAGGAAACTTTAAAGGGATAGTTAACCAATGAATCAGGAGGAGAGATGTAGACGATAGATGTTTGATAGGAAAAAAGAAGCAAACCACACCAGAGAACCCGCCAACCACCCACAGGGAATGAAAGAGACTGCCAAAAAGAGACAAAAAGGTGAACAGTGCTCTCAGTACATTCTAATACAGTTTAAATTTCATCAGAACAGTATTTTTTTTTAAAAGAATCCGAATTAGTCCACTCCTCATTTTAAGATACATATTCAAAATAAAACTATACATTATTTAAAATGAATTTCTCATTTAAAATTTCTACTAGAATGTTGTAATTTGGAACAGATATAATTCATTCAAAAACAATTTGTTTGACATAAAATTCATGTAGACACTTCTTTTTGAAAATGGAAATGGCTTTAATGAAAACCCCCCATAAACACAAAATGCACCAATTTAAAAATCTTGTAAAGAAAGTCAGGAAATTATTTTTTTTTGGGGGGTGGGTCTTACTTTTCTTTTTTAAACATAATTTTTCAAGTCCTGTAATAATAAAACAATATTTCTTTTCAGAGTTTAAACAAATATTTTTAAAATTCTGGACTTGTGAGAACCAGTGCTCTATATGACCTCCTTTGGAGGTGACACATTTTAATGCGTCGTTAAGGAAGGGCACTTCAGCATTATTTCCGTACCTTGGGCGAAACTTGTGAAATGAGTTGGTGGCGAGATATGGTTCAACATGAAAAGCTCTCTGTTTTTATCTAATTTTAAACATGATCTATTCAGGCAAAGGAAACTTTAGAAAAACAATATCTGCAAACTTCAGTTGACCTGTTAGATCACTGTAGCTTGCAATATGTCACACTCGCTGGGACTTTTAGTGGTAGGCCTAATGCGAACTAATGCGTCATGCTACAAACATGGGGACATAGCTGAAGATAAGTTTTTGTTTTTTTAAGGGTAATGTAGAGCAAAACTATTCCGTGGATATGTTTCCAAAAGGAATATTACCCAAAGTCCTTTTGACTTCCAAAAGTTGTGTGCAAATTTGAAACACAAAACTTAAGTGTGGAGGAAAACATCTATAAAAAAAGATTTTTTTGGATCACCCTGTATCTCATTCGCAAAATTTTGTCATTGAAATTTGTAATTGTCATATACAACATTAAATTTTCTTCACAGAATAAATCAAACATTACCACTAAATCACAGTATGTAATTTTTATCTTTTCATTAGGGACAGGTTCAGTTTGAGAAAAGAGAAGTACACCAACACAATAAGAGTCATTCTGTGCTAGGAAAAAAAAAAAAGACAGTTTGAAATGAAAGCGGGGGGAAAAAAAAGAAATAAGATCTACCAGTGGCGCCCTCCAACCATCCACTGAACGACAAATGTGACAACCTGGACTACAACAAAGACTTCGAAACCGGCAAGCAGACAAAAAGGAGTCTTTTTGAAAAAATCAACAACGGACCAAACCAAGTGGAAAACCTGAGCAAACACAGTTTTAAAAAAGGCACTTTATGGTTTTCAACCTACATGTACGCTACTTGCTGTAAATAATAGCGGCACCCATACCTGTTTGTAGACGTTGTCTCATAAAAATGCCCTTCGTAGTTGCTCTCAAAGATCTGTGGTTCTCGCACGCCAACTTTAACTCGCACTGTCTTTGTGTTCCTCTGTTGTATGTCTCCAATAGCATTGGTGTCAGTCACGGTGACCTGTGGTAGCAGTTATAATATGCAGTGGGTTGTTTTTTTTAGTAGAGGTTTTACGGTGCTCGCAAATGCATAAGGTCATATGAGCGCCAGAAGATATGGTGTGTAACAAGAGAGTAACAAACATAAAAAAGCAGAAGGGGAGATAAGGACGATAGATGTTTGATAGGAAGGAAGAAGCAAACCACACCAGAGCACCCGCAATATGCAGTCTGAGTGATAGAGTGAAGGGGGAAG